ATTCGATTCCTATTGATAGGAAAATGTGCTGATTAGTTTTTAGCAAAGGCAGATCCAGCGGTTTCGGAGATACAGAGCTAAATGTGCAAAAAATGGCAGTTTTTGAGAGAATTAAGCGTCCGATTTGAATGATTCTAAAAATTTTCTGCTTGTTTTAAAAAAAAAATTAATTTTGAAAAAAAAATGTTTGCTTCAAAACAATTTTTTTAAATTTTTTTTCCAAAAAAATTTTTTTTTGTATATCGAAAATAATTCAGATTTTTATTTTAATTCTGTTCTAATATCTATCGAAAATAATTCAGATTTTTATTTTAATTCTGTTCTAATATACCTTAAACAAATAATTTCAACTTTTCAATTTAGTTTATATAATTCTTATAAATATTCGACAATGTTACAATATTTATAATAATCTATTTTAAAACATTTAATATTCCTCGATCATTTCGTTACGGTACGGGAAGTTTCAGCAATTTGCCTTAAGGCACAATGCCATACACCCCACTAGTTTTAGGCTTTAATAACAAAAACAAATGCTATTTAAGGCTACACTAAAAACACTTTTTTATATGAATAATTTTTTTTTTATCGAAATTGCGGACTTTTAGTAAAAACTTATATGTAATACTTTTTTATCTATGTTTTACATCTGTTTTTCTCGATTTTGAGCCTTGTATAACATTCTATTCAAATTACTTTATAATTAATTTCTACAAAATAGCACTTATTTGATTATTTTTACAATTTTTGTTAATTTACCTATTATTTTTGAAAAAACCCGGGATAACCCAAGACATGTAAATCAGGAACAAATATTGCTATTATGAAAACCTGGAACTGGAACACAAGACGGAAAGCCGGGACTGTTCCGGCTAAACCGGGACGTACGGTCACCTTATTGGTATAGAATTTTAAAATGAAAAATTTATAATTATATTGAGAAAAATCTCACATTAACATGTGTAAATCTATGTATACATAGATTAACACATGTTTTATTATAATATAATCAGACAGCTTTGTTTCAAATACTTCTAGCGATTTTATTAATATTCCAATATTCCCTCAATAATGTTGATTACTAATGAATTTATAATAATCGATTATTCAATGTATCCCAATCACTATGGAGTCCCAGTCCCAGCGCCTGCCCAGCAAAAACGACGAGGTGTGATCCCCAAGCGTTACACAGTAAAACACTTTAGCGCGGGCGCCAGTTACCTGGCCGCGATGGCCGGTAACTGGACGGCATGGACGGTATGCGACACATGACGCCGTAAGGACGCGACACCCGAAACAATAAATGCATCTATCGAAATAAAAACCTATAACGTCTCAGCTAAGCGCTCATCGGAAGATTTATAGCTGGTCTACTACAAGCATTGACTCTGGAGTCAGAAAAAAATGAACTCATTTAAAACGTTTTTTTTACATACAAAATTTATCGCCTAACCGACGTGCACTAGATTTTTCGCCATGTCCGGCCACCTATGTCGGTCATTATTTATGTCACCTTAAATAATTAGGATGTTGTTATTGCGGATGCTGATGTTAGCTGACGCCAATAGAAATGTTACATTAAAAAACTTATATCAACTAGTTGTAAGTAACATTCTAATAGGAATGAAGATTAAGGTATTTAGGTAATAGGCATATAATTTTTGTGATCAATTAATAATGATTTTTAGATCCTTCCTCCCCCTTGGTGACACGTAGTAGTTAGACTTCCCTACTTACTATAATTTCTTTTTTTGAGAATTCAAAAAACGGAATAAAAAAATTCTTTCCTCAAAAGCAATCATTTCATCAACACAAGCAGAATGTTTTTAAATCCTTCAAATCGGATGCTTAGTTCTCTCAAAAACTGCCATTTTTTGCACATTTAGCTCTATATCTCCGAAACGACTGGAATTGCCTTTGTCAAAAACTAATCAGTAAATTTTCCTCATCACTAGAAATTGAATTTTTTTTTTGAACTACTCAAATCGGATAAACTCAAAATCCCCCCCCTTGGTGACACGTAGTGATACTAGATTTCCCTACTTACTATACTTATATTTTCCTTTTCTTTGTATTTTGATTACCCAGTAGTAATCGTTAATTTTTTGGAATTATTTTAATATTTTTTAAGCTCAGTTAAAAAATGAAAACATTTGATATATTACAAGACCTCCTTTCCCATACATGCGGAAAACATGGACACATGGACGTAAACTGTAATCAGTAGGCATCTAAGAAAACATATCGTACATATGTTTTGGCACAGATCCTGATTGCACGGCAAAATTATAAACTTTGATAAATTCTTATAATTCAACCGTTTGCCGTAGGCCTATAATATTTTAGTATGTTATTTCAGACTACTAAATCTATGAGTACCTAATTTTATATTTAATTATGAAATTTACTTAATTATGAAACGGCTTGGACGATCTTTAACAAAAGGCTAATCAACTCAATTCCCAACTAATAACTTTTGAACAGATTTTAAAATCGATTCAAGTTTGTGGAGTATAACGTGGACGAAACATTTTACGGTTTTGAAAAACTGACAAATGGTGAATTTTTAAAATCGGTACTGCCGTTTTTGAGAAAACGTCGAAAGATCAAAAATCCACCAATATACACACATACACATGCACACACACACATACAGCACTCTCGATTCATATAAATTTCTATAATTTTGTCATAATATGTAAAATTTAGCTAATATTCTGTGTTTTTAAAAATCGTAATAAATACTATAAGATATCTTAAGAACAAAAACTTTTTACTAACATTTCTAATATAATTTCCTACTAATAACAAGCTTATATCAATTTTAAAGTGTTCACTTGGCAATAGCATTTGCATTAAGACGTAGCATTTATTTTTTTATTATTCATCCTTTTGAATAAATCAACTCAAGATGAAATTCTAAGTAAAACACTTATTTCATATAATTTGCTTAAGTAAAAAATTAATAATATAGAGCAATATTTGTAGAGCACTTAATGCATCATATTTGTACAATCGTTATCAGTTCAATAGGCTGTCGATGAAGAAATTAATAAGCATTGTAAACATACACGTTTAAATAAATAGAACGATTGAATTTCAACATATAAATGGCTATTGTTAATAAGAATTTGTTGTGTAACTAAATCCCTACATATAATGAAATATAATGCAAATTTTCCTGTTACAAATTTCGTAAAGAATTTAGTGATTCTTAAAATGATATGCAAGACACTAATTCTTGTTTCTTCCCTTTTGAGAGAAGAGATTTTATAAGTTTCCCAGATATAGTTAAAAAAAATTATAAAATTCCTGTCTTTGGCAAAAGCCGAAATATAAGAAAATTGACTCTCACAAATTTCGTAAAGAATATGGTGATTTTTAAAATAATATGTGAAACATTGCAGTTGTAGTTTTCTCCCTCTTGAGAGAAGTTCTGCGAATAATGTTAAAATTTCCGAAAAAACATTTGTCCAAAATTTTTATTTTTCTTTAATTTTTATTAAAGTATTAATTAGTAAGTTCAGTATTAATTATCCCTTAAGAAGCAAGTGGATCTGGACTTTCTTAAATCTTATCATTGTTAGATATTAATCTTTTTGAACAAGTGTTTTGAAAATAAGATATGACATCTTTGACTATAAGTCACAGCAAATAAGGCTATAAGTGCAAAATAATCAATAAAATTTCCCAGGGTCATAGGTAAATAAATCAATAAGTCTATATTACGTAATTACACATAAATTAAAAAAATCTGTAAAATAAATTATATACTGAACTATATTTCATATTAGAGACTAATATATAATATAATATATAATATAATCTTGTTTTAACTGATTTTAAGTACGATAAATAAAACAGAGAAATTTTTGGTTTTACGTTTGTTTTATTGAAATTAAATTAATTTAAAATACTTTTTAGTTATTTAAAGATTTTCATTTTATGTATATTTTTTATACATAATTTGTTCCAATTATAAAAAAAAACATTCGATTACTATGGGACTCTCTTCAAGTGGTGTATGACATCGTGCCTTAAGGCAAATTGCTGGAACTAGCAATATTACTAGAGGAATATTAAATGTTTTCAAATAGATTAATAAATAATGTTACTCATTAATTTTATTTTATATAAAGTAAATAGACAAAACTCATTCAATCGGATTTAAAATGAAGAACATATTCTAATATTTCTAAGAATAATATAAACTGAATTGCAAAGTTAAAAATATTTATTTGAAGTATATAAGTGATAGTTGGAACTTTAGTTAGAACTAGAATTAAAATTCAAATTATTCTCAAATATTTAAAAAAATTTTTTTTTGAAAATTTAAAAAAAATTGAAACAAAAAAAATCATTCCTCAAAAGCAATCGTTTTGTCAACACAAGCAGAATGTTTTTCAAATTATTCAAATAAGGTGCTTAGTTCTCTCAAAAGCTGCAATTTTTGCACATTTAGCTTTATATCTCCAAAATAGCTGGATCTGACGTTGTCAAAAACTAATAAGCATGTCTCCTCATCACTAGGAATGAAATGTTTTTTAATCATTCAAATCGATTGATCCGTGCGTCCAAAAACGTGACTGGAAATTTGTATCCATACATACATACACACACACATCCATTTTTGCTGAGGTATTCCAAAATGTTCAGAAACCTCTGGAACGTGAAGATATGGAAAAATTTCATTTTCGACTTCCGGCCCATTACTATAACTTACCCTATGGGAAGTTATTAATTTCAGTATATTAAAAATATATTAATATTATAGATTAAATTTTTTTTTCAGATTACTAGTGTCAAGAATGGAAGCGACGGGACAGCAAGAAGCGGTCTCGGCTCCAAAATCGGAGCCGTCCAGTGCCGCAGGTTCGCCTCAGCAACCCCAGGAGCAGATCAGAAGTAATAACAATAATTTGGAAGATTTGCAGGAGAATAACGGATCTCCTCAGAAAAACGAACAATTGGAATATCCAAACACTGTCATCACATTGAGGAGACAGCCGCAGGTTGTAAGGACTATAACTACTGCAGGACATATTACAACAACTTGTGCGACTCCTGATCGTGAAGAAGCACAACATGTGGTAAATAATCGAAATTTAAAATTAATTTAATCATTGGCGAATGAAATAAGTTTCAATTTTAAGCCCCCATATCATACTTCTTTTAACAGCAATCAGAATCTAATAGTTCTATAAGGTGTTGGGCTAATTTTTGACTTGATATTAGTCTGTTTGATAGATGGCAACCCAATAAGTTGCAAATAAAATCACGTTAATAAGAAGTCATTATAAAAAATTAATAAAACTTATCTATAACTAATATTAATATCTGTACCAATTCCATAAGAGACATTAGCAAATTTTTGGTAGTACTTTAAATCGAATGTCAATCCAGTGAAAGGTCGTCAGGGTATGAATATAATTTAAATGCATTAAATTATTTTATAATATATATTTTATTATTTCAGAGGGATATTCCGAAATCGGAGCCCTATGAACAATCAATACCGAGAAGTCACTACGAATACAACAATGAAAATACAACAGAACACGAAACATTGATTACAGTTGCCGAAAGTTACAGTCCGTCCGCGTCTCAGCAACAAACGAGCAATGAACAACAACAACAACAATCTTCAAATGAATTGCAATATACGAGTTCAGAACGGAAATACGCTCCACAGGAAAGGTAAAGATAAACATTTTGATTTACAACTGTTTTATTATTGACAAGAAGACGTCGAAAATCTTGAAAACCAAGAATCATCTGCATGATATGATTTCTGGAATGCTAGAAACTAAAACATAACATAAATCTGTATGATTTTAATTTATTTCTTTAGCAAGTTGATCGGCATGATAATATCAGAAAAAAAGTTAGATGGACCTTTGTAATTTTATTAGAAAATTTAGTTCAAACTGTATGAAAGAAATTTATGGACCGATTCTGCTGTAAAATAGACCAATCTTATGGCAATGGTAATTGCCTTAGGCTACGTTATGTAGATGTTTTCATACAAAATGGTACTAAAAACTGTTCAAGTCTTATGTGGTTCATGTGCAGTCAGGCGGTTTAGATAGAAAACTTAACTTAGAAATCGCACAAATGCCAAAAAAACGATGTTATCATAACTGAAACTTTGAAATATAACTTGATAATAAATGAGTGAAGTTTTGTGTGTGTAATACGTCTGATGGCACATCGAATACATGGCATTATGTCGGTATTTAGTACCATTTTGTATGACAACTGGAATGTAACATAACCTTGGAGCCAATAATGTGTCTAAGAAAAATATCAGAAATTCCTGGAAAAACACTATATTTTATGTCACCCATATACGTCTAACATGGCCCTATATTAAAACTTTTATTTTCCTAGCACCAAATCAAGTATTGCGTCCAGTATGAAAATATAATACTAACAAATATTTAAAAAAAATGTATTTGCTTATAAGCAATCTTATCTTAATCTTATAAACAATTTGTCGTTATAAACAATATTCACTAATTTTAATGGTTAAGTATATAAAGAAAGAAGGTCGAAAAGTCAGAACAGTGGTGATCCGTTTCAATGTTGATTATAGACAAATAAAAATTGTATTAAAAATTTATAAAAATTATTACAAACCAAAACAACAAGTTTCAAATTATAAATTTAATAAATAAATCACCTAATTATTTAACAATATCGATTTCCGAAAGATTTCTAAATTCAATTCTTTGCATGCAGGCGTTTGTTTATTTCAGTATTATTATGCAACACAGGAGCATATGACCTCGACAAGTTGTTGGAATGGTGTGAAAAATTCATTTTAACTACATTGTAATGGCTACTGTATTTTTATGACTATATTTTAAATTAACACGTTTTTTGCCATGCTAGTCATGTGTCTCTGAAGCTGAAAAATTCTACATGAGCAGAAGGAGATAAATAGTGTCTGTCACATATGTGTGACATGAAAAATAGTGTTTTTCCAAAAATTTTGGCAATTTTTTTTCTTTGATACATCAAGTTTGCTTGATACATTTTTAATTAAATTATCTAATAAAATAACTTTTTAAAGAAATATTTTTTTATATTGCCATTCATGGCAATTAACGTGTTAAAAGACGCTGGGTTCAAAAAATACAGGAAAAAACATCAATTTATATAACTACCCCAATTGTGGTAAGAATCTGGCTTTGTAATTATAAAATCCCGCTCTCAAGTCAACGTTTCGGACAACCTGATATAAAGCAGTAGTCCTATCTATTTCCACTTCAAAATGAAGATCTAAATATGTTTTCAAGTAAAAATAACACTCTCTGGCACACTTTCATTGCGATTAGAAAAAACAACCATTGGGCAGTCTTATAATATAAAACATCATCAAGAGATAAGACAACCATTGGGTTGTCTTCTAAAAAGCGACGTAGTTTAGAAGAAGTATCATTGCAACAGATCGTCAAGAGGGCGTCCATTAATCACGTGATCGATTTTTGAAGGATTTTTTTACCCCCCTCTACCCCTTGGTGATATGTGGTGTTTTTCAAAAATACCCCTCCTTCAAACATTACGTGTATTTTTAGTTATGAGAAAAAATTGTAAAATATTAGATTTTTTTTTAAAATATTGGCATTTAAAAATAAAAATTTAAGTTTTTAATTTAAAAATAAAAATCAGCTAAAAATGAATCTTTGCGATATCTTACTATACCCTCCCTTCCCACGTGATATTTCGCAATTTTTTGTCAAAACCGACCCCCCCCCTCACCCTGAAAACCTCACGTGATTAATGGAAGCCCTAAAAACTCCTTGATCTTATTGCTTTCCAAATGAATTGAAAAATTAGTAAAAAAGTATACAACAAAAGTTCTTGTTGGAGCCTCCATATAATTGCAAGATTTATACGAAATTATAAAAACACACGTGGGGTTTGTCTTCATCATAATATATGATTTTTGAAGACATCATCAAACTTCAGGTTCAGAGCGTTTAAATTAACAACTTTTAGAAGACACATCAGCAAATAACTTCCTGATGCTGGAATCTAGTATCAACCACTTAGTCTTAGGACCTCGTTTATTTATTAATTGATATATATTATGAATCAGAATCATTAAAATTGCAAAAACATGCGAGGTGCATTGTAGAATTAGATGGAAATGGTTTATATTAACATCTTCAATAGTTTTTACCTTATAATCCTCTTTCTTTTGTCTAAGCACGTCTCTTCCGGCAAAGTCCTCATCCTCACTAATTTTCATTTTAGTCTTTCAGACACTGAATTAAATGATTATTTTCAAAAATTGCTATATAAATTTCACATCAAATTAAATTTGCTTATCCAACTGTCCACACCGAGATGTAAATCGACACTAACTAGTATTAAACCCGACTTATTTCGATTGAATGACAAATTGCAATGCATTGTCAATGCGCACATGTTTATAAACTCCGAAAATAAACAACCGTTATGAAGAGTGACCGAAAATAAATTTTGCATTTGATATAAACGGAATAAAATGGTAAAATATCCTGTTAAAATCGAATTGAAGTATAAAAGATTAGATTAATGTGGTTCGAGGATTTTAAGTCTATATTTTGGTAAATTATTTAAATTAAATAATTTTTTATCCTTATCTGTTCTTTGAATAAAACATACCCTTATCTGTTCCTTTTTGCTTAAAACATATCATATTGGGTAGTCAATACAAAAAATCTTACATTTTGTCCGAAATATAAAATGCTAACGTTATCTATCTCAATTGAATACAAAATAAGCTCATAATCAAATCAGGATATGAAATTCTAAACTATCAGTTAAAGATTTAAAATAAACTAAGATTTTAATATAAATATTAACAATACCATTTTCATACATGTTTTATGGCTATAACTCGAATAAATATCTTCTCATAATTTTATCAATTGTTAATAATTTTTTTTTCAATTATATTCATCATACATTTTGCTTTATTTATGTTTCATATACAATCAAATTGAAATAAATTTATATTAAAGTGTTAATTAGTATTAGTAATCATTGATAGAACAGCACTCCAATAAAGGAATAAGAAGTATACATTTATTTCAGTCTGATGACTTAGATTAAAATTTTATGAATTAATGAAATAATAATGTGTCATATTTTTCTCATTAGGCAATTGCAAAAATTACTGACAAATTTAATTTCAATATATTCACATATACCTGAATTGTATGATATGCCTTCGAAGTGGTTTGTTTTCAAAGCGTACTACATCATTGAAAGTACACCATCAGCACTTTTATTGTTCATATTTATCAAAAATCACAAAATTTGTGTTAAGAAATATAATTGCGATTAAATGAATATTCTGATAATAAATCTGATTCAAATCCCATTCACCAAACGCTTCTTAATATATTCTCAATGATCCTAACGTTGCGTTACTTGCAGCTAATTACTATAGTTTTATAATGAAAATATTTCTGAACTATTTATTATTTTATTAGGTATTTATATTCTGAAAATATTGAAACTTACAATCATGGAATGGAAAACATCAGTCCCATGTCCGTGCGATATGCAACAGGAGAAGGCCAAGAACGATATATGACACCAACTGAACATGCTGAGGGCCAAATATTGCTGACAAGATCATATGAAACAGGACCTCAATTCGAGCATCCTTCGCCACTCATATCTGGTTAGTAGAAATTTGTATTAAACGTCCAGAAAGGTACCACAAAAATACGTAAACAGCTATGAGCATGATGTTTTTGTTATGTAATCTAGTATGCTTTGTAGTTAGTAACACGCTTTGGTCTATAAACTAGTCGACTCCTAAAATTTATGGGCCGATTCTGCCGCACAACAGACCAATGTTATGGCAAGGCCATGTTTTGCTCCAACTTCCATACATTATGCTACTGAATCATACTGAATACTGTCAAAATGTTATGTATTTGCTGTGCATTCAGACGTTTTACACATAAACTGCAACGTCACTCGTATGTTATGATGCTGAGTCAGAAACACCCTGTAATCTAAGATCTTTTTTTGACGTTTATGCGGTTTTTAGGTTAAGTTTTTAATCTGAAAAACTGAGAAAAACGCCTGACTGCACAGCATCCACATGGCTTTTGTCAATATTTAAAACGAATCAGGATGGAAAGTTTTTTATATCATAGCCTTGTCATAACATTTGTCTGTTGTGCGGCAGAATCGGTCCAGTAGTAGTTAGATTAGTTGAAACTCCAAATTTTCTGCAGAAATTATTTTACATATCATATTCTTTAATGTTGACCAGCCGTGGTAAAAACGTGAACTAGCAAACCCTAGTCCAGGTTTTGATCCTAACCTCAGCCAAGCTCGACATCAAGCAGCATGATGTCTAATTTCCACTTGAGGCTATAGATAAATATAATCTCAAGTAAAATTGCCTATCGTGGACATAGCTGCATATAAAAGTATCAAGTCAGAAATGCTATTAAGTATAGCCAGAAGTAGGATAGGACAACCTTTGGTTGCAATCCAAACAAGTTATATGAAAATATGTAAAATCTGAAACT